TATTCCACTTCTGGATTGTGTCCCACTTGTTGATTCTTCACAAAAAAAGAAATCATAATTTTATATCTTTGTTTAAAGCCTGAAATGGTTGAAAAGTTCCAGGAGCTTGAATACTCTCGCCAGGCACTGTAGAAACAAGAAGCTTTAATCACAGCCAGAGGTGGATAATCCAGGTTCAGAGAGTAAAAAGCCTGTACAGAGATCAGTTCCAAACATAAAACCCAGACTAATATTCTGAGAAGCTAATCATCTGGTTAAGCTGACAAGATGTAGCAAAATAAGGCAGGCTTTTTTCCCTTCTGTACCTGGATTCAGACACTACCACCAACAGTGGAGCTAAACAATGAAGCAACATGAGAGCTTTATTCTAAAGTTCCTCATCCTAACAAGAAGACTTGTGTTGAGTTCAAATCCACAATGGGACAAGATCTGAATTCAACAGAATGTGTTCCAAACCAGAACTGGAAAAAACTGGTTTTACTTCTTCAAATCTGGGAATTGTAATTTCATAACTGTCTCCACAGTCTGGGCTGCTAAAAGTAACACAGATTCTGAATAGCTTTAGATTGATTTAGGCTATATTGAGATAAATTAAACACCATGATCAAATGTGAAGAAAAATGTCTAAACTTGTCAACAGGTTTTCTCAGTTGTTACAGCTATGTCTAAATTCTCCAAGAAGCTTGAAGCAGAAGAGTTGCATTAGTAAGTTTACTATATTAAATATGTAATGTAGGGGGAGTCTCCCTTCATATTATTTTCAGGAGGCTTTGAATTTTGCACTCATTGACTTTTCAAACTTTATCATTACCAAAAGAAGAAACCAGTAACACATTAGAATGGGTTTACAATCCTTTATCTCCCCTCACAGAATAAATTTCCATCTTTAAAAGGGTAAATATTGCATTTATTTAAATTTAAACTGAACAGATCCATTTAATACATGCTCTCTCTCCCTCTGGGATCTCTTTGTAGTAGTAATGTAATCAGAGTGTGTTCTTGAAGGTAAAACCAAACATCTGACCGACTTCAGTATCAAATGAGGTGAAGATTGTCAGTCATTCCAAAAAAAAAGATTAAGCAGTTCCACTGGATTTTGTTTCCAAGTTTGAAGATGTTTCACTTCCCATCCAGGAAGCTAGAAGAGGGGGGTGAAGGAAGCCATCTATAAGAAAAAAAACTCAAACAGATGGAGGTTGGCTCAGATTTCAGCTTTCAAAAACCTACAATGCAGCAATGGGGTTAATCCCTTCCAGTAACAATCACAGCCCGGAGGACCTCATCTATTCACCCAGGCCAACAATCCCCTATAACAACCAACCTCTCAGTGGGGCAATACAGGCCATCAAAAGAAGCCTGTAATGCAATTAGGCATTTTATCTGAAACCATTTCAAAGGGGTGGACCTGTTCATCTGTTCCAATTTGCATGTTTTCAAACACAAAAACAAGGCTTTGTTCGGCAACCGTATAAATCTTCCAACTCCACGCTATTCCTGACATTTTGAATTGAAAAAAAAAGCTTCCTGGTCGGGATTTGAAACGTCTTCAAACTTGGAAACAAAGTCCAGTAGATTGTTTTTAACTTTTGGAGGGAGTATCAAATGAGGCACACTAAAAGAGGTTCCTGCACTTAAGACAAACTCATAATTTGTTGTAATAAATTTTAATTTTTCCATATGTCTCCAAATGGAGATCTTTTATAAAGAGAAACAGCAGCTAACACCTAAAACCAAAGGAAGATAGAAGATAACAGCATCAGTTCCAAGTTGTCATTTTCCATTTCTTCTTTGTATAACAAGAAAGGAAACCGAAGCAGGTTCAGCTTATTTCATTAGTACACTTTATTCAAAGAAGAAAAAGCAGAACAATTAGAGCTCATTAGATTCATACAAGAAACAATCAGCAGTGAAATAATTTATGGCTACTAGAAAACAGAACTATTTGAAAACTAAAGCAGTAGAGCCATTAGAACAATGAACCCAATAATCAGCATAAAAAGAGAAAATCTATTGGGGTTCACAGAACTCTGCATCAGTTAACAACTCAAGATAAAGTCCAGCATGTAGCGGCTCGGTGAATGTGGTCTGGACTCTGTGGAGGAGAGTCATGGTTTCAGAGACGCTGTAGAAACATAAAATACCTGCCGAGTGATCCAGGTACACTCCTATTCTGGGGGAAGTGGTAGCCGAGATGGGGGTCCAGATGTTGTTGTGCACAAAACTATTACGTTTTTCAAAACATTCTAATGCCCAAGATTTGTCATTACATCCAAATCTGCATTCATTCCCACTTCCTGCTCTCCCAATACTCTTGTATGCGACTGCTACATAAACTCCCATCCCTCTCCACTCCACCTCCCAGTAATGACGTCCAGTTAGACTTTCTCTACAGAGAACCTGGCGCCAATAACTGAATCTGTCTGGATGATTAGAGTAACACTGGTAACCTGTCACAGTCACCTTCCTGTTCTCCTCTGACAGAAACAGAAAATTGTTTAGCGTGTTTGGATCCATTGTGATTTCACATAGACCCTTAAATGTAGCCGTATCATATCGAGGCTCAAGGTGTTTCTCACCGTAAGAGGCCTTACTGTCTAAACAGGACTTTGTTGCTTTCGTTTTGCTTCTAGTGCTGAAATCACAGCCCACATCTTCAGGTCCAGCATAGCAGTGATCAGCAGGAGGAGCTTGGAGTCCAGTCTTCTTCAGCTGCTCTATTAAAGCTGCTAACATGGTGTTCTTCTGCAGATCAGGTCTCGGTATAAAGGTTTTCATGCACTGAGGGCAGCTGTGGATTCCCTTCTGATCCTCTTCATCCCAGTGTTCATTTATGCAATTCTTACAGTAGCTGTGTCCGCAGGAAGTGGTCACCGGATCCTTTAGTAGATCCAGGCAGATTGGACAGGAGAAGGTTTCCTGGTCCAGATGATTTTGCTCCATTTCTCCCCTCAGTCAGAGACTGTAAAATTCTCTTCCTAAAAAAAAAAAAAAAAAAAAAAAGAAGAATTTAAGCTCTGATCTACAGTCACCTGTCTGTGCACACAGGCTGCAACCGATCAGCTTTTACCTTCAGCAGATGTTGGTTTCACCCAGCTTCAAGCTCTGAGATCAGGATGAAGACCTCTGGACGTCTTCTTCTTAAAGACACCTCCTGGATCTGAAGAGTTACAGATAAACAGCCTTATAAAGGAGTACCTTGTCATAGTCAGCCCAGTTCAACAATGACAATTGAAACTATGTTGTCATACAAAAGTGACCATCAACCTAACGACCAATTAGTACTTTGATCACTGCTTACACGGGCCAAAGTCTTGATCAGATCATTCTAGATTTAATTGTTTTTGTATCACCTGATTCAGATTGATACCTCTTTCTTGTGACTGTTCAGGCAGTCTACTACTGCACCCTTCATGAGGGAACATTTCCACTTTATCACACTTTCCTAGTTTAAATGTTCTAATAAATAAGAGTAATACATTTATCTGCAAAGGTTCAGGAAACACAGGGAAGGATATACTTTAAATCATTAAACATGTAAAAGGAAATGTATATAGTTCATTTCATTTGATATTTTTCTGCATTATATTGTGCAACAGCATCAGCATCATCCTCTACTGAGAAAACAGATGAATAAACTCATCTAAAAGGTTTATTGGCTGATTATGTAATGGGACGTTAACAGAACCTTTTCCACACATGCTACCCACCTTAAAACAGGTGACGGTATGACAGTCACAGAGTTAATCACAAAGTAGTGAGCATAGCATATTTCCAGAGAGCTAGTGAAGAATAAGTCAAAGTGTTTCAGTTCTTGACCTACCTTTGGTGAGCAGACATTTAGGATAAATGTTTCCATGACAGGTAAACACTCAGGGGTTAAGTAACTGCTCTTATGCTGGTCATGTGATTAGTATATGAGATTCACCTGTGTGATTGCACACAGGAGCAGGAAGAGCAGTCTATGCACTGACATAAATCAGGGGAGAGGTTTGACATGTGTGTACTTAAAAGAATCTAAATTATTTTTTTTTATGATAATCTATTACACAATTCCCCCCCACAAGTAATTACTGTGAAGTCCATGGCTTTTTGTAACTTGTTGCAGCTCTGCTCCTGTTTTATCCTGACGTCTGATTGTCTTTAGACATCTCACTATAAAAGTCTGTTATACTGTCACAATAAAAAGGATAAACAGTGAACATTTTCTAAACCTCTAAAAAGACACAAAACATCAAGGACTGTAGCTTCCGAATGGATTTTAAGTTTCTTTTGAATATTTTTGCAGCATATTTGACTTTTTAAAAAGCAATTTCATTTTAGAAAAACAAAAGTATCTATGAATAAACATCATCTTACAGTTTTCTATTATTATGATAACATTTTTTGAATATAAAGAATATATTTTCCAAAGGTAAAAGTCAATTCAATTCAGTTTATTAATATAGTGCCATAGTACAGTTCACCACATCATACAGGCGAATTGAGTCAGAGCTAAGGAAAACCAGTTGATTGCATCGACTCATTGAGTCGGACGCAATCCCTCACACTAAGCATGCTTGTAGCGACAGTGGAGAGGAACCAGCAGAACCAGGCTCAGTGTGAGCGGCCATCTGGGGATCGAGGCCGACTGGGGTTCAAGGAGACGGAAGCAGAGATACAAAAGGCAATTGTAAAAGTCAGCCCGGTCCAGGAAACACACAGCCAGGCAGACGAGCTCTGAGGCAGCTCCTATGTCAGAGGATGAAGAGATCACATCCAGACAGTCTGTTCCTGTCACTTAGTGCTGCTTCTCTACTGCAGATTAGGTTTCATGTTAACAAACTCTTCTTCATCACTAGAGGGCACCACCAACCTGGTGAAAGAAATGCAGAGAAGTTCCACAACTCAGTCTAACCATGCTGAAGACTTTGAATTAAAATTATAGTTTGGCTTTTTAAAATGCAATAAAAAGGAAGAAATGTGTAACTAAGCTTCATATGGTGACCAACAAGTATCCTGTCCTCTTTGCTTTGTTTATAAAACTAAGTTAGTCTGTAAATAAAGCAATACACAATGTGAATCAAAGTGCACTTTGATGACTTATATGCATTTTATGCATCTCAGCACACAGATCCCTACATATTTTGATCTAAACATAAAAAAGCTTAAAGTTTACATCATATTTACTTTTTTAATCCTCATTTTGTTAATTTTTTTTGTGTTATTTATGTAGCTAAATTGGTTTAGCTTTATGATAACTTTTAAGCCATAAAAGCTCCAGCTCATTAAAAAACATTATGTTCAATGCTCCTTGACTTTAAAAACGGAAACAAATTATAACTCAGAGAATTTAGAATATTATAAGTTTTTGTCTGTGTCAGTGGTTATTAAAAAGGTTTGCATTAATTTCTCCAGTTTTTGTGCATACCAAATATAAATGATATGAATATATTATCTCTTAACATATATTTTGTTTCATTATAGCTGATCGGAACTAGACAAACGCAGGAGTGGGACAAAAAGATTTTTATTTAAACCATAAGTGATGTTCAAATTAATCCCTTGAAATCCAGTATTTTTAATTTGTATATGACTTTCCTAAACATAACTAAAAAGTGCTTTAAACTGATATTTGACCCATAACTACATGAATCCAGCATCAATAGTGTCAGCAGCAATTACAGCTGAAGTTAAGTTTAACTTAAATTACTGAACCTTTTAAAAATTTAGATTAATAGAACTACTGAAAACTATTGAAATGTTGAAAAATCAGTTTAGTAATATACAATTTTAAATGCTCTATAAATACTATTGTAGTAAATCTGTGGTGGTATTTGCAATCTAGAGACATTACTTTGTATAAATGTCAACAATTTGCAAAAAGTCAGATTTTCGGATGTCATTTCTAATGTCAGAATGTCATTTTTAGTTTTGCTATTTTCTTGTAAAATGTTATTTAAAAAGGTTCAATCTGCACATACACCTCAGGATATGATGGACCAAATGTGTCCCAATTCTATTTAATATGCCATGTTGCATTCTGTATTTCAGTATCCAATGTTTCCTGTAGATCTACCACCTCACCATCTACTACTGAGGCCAGTAGCATGAAGCAAACTCATCTTTGTGTTGTGCTGCCATTACAGTGCAGTTAGGAAACAGGTAAGAGTTTTCCCTGTGCAACCAAACACATTTAGTTTCTGCAGTGGCATTGACTCTTATTTCATGATTTGATATTGTGCAGAAATTAGATTTTAGAGATTTGGTTACACAATCAGTTGTTCTGAACATGAAACCGTTGTAAAGACAGTAAAAATGTCTTTTTTTTTTACTTAAGAACACTCCTCTTCCAGGAATCAAAGACTAAAGGCTGGGTGGGACCACCTGGTAAAGGTGGTTCCACCCACCTTTCTATGCTGATGTGTCATATGTAGATCAGAACCAAAAACCTGTTTCTTTGTTCAAAAAGTGCACTTACACAGTTGTTGCAACTGACAGAAGAAAGGGAGCCAAACCAGCTGGACTTAGAAATGTCTGCTTTTCGATCTATCACGAGATCTATCTGCTAAAGAATCTGGTAACTGCATCCTGCGGACATAGATACTGAATACAAGATATAAAAAGACACCAGGTTACAGAGGATTATAAAGGAATCAACAGCTCTCGCTACAGGAAAACGTTTATACGGAGGCCTCATCTGAAGAAGAACATGTTCACTGCTCTAGTAAGGCGTCTAATGAAGACTGGACTCCAAGCTGCTCCTGCTGATCACTGCTTTGCTGGACCTGAAGATGTGGCCTGTGATTTCTGCACTGGAAGAAAACTGAAAGCTATCAATTCCTGTTTAGTCTGTCTGGCCTCTTACTGTGAGAAACACCTTCAGCCTCATTATGATTCAGCTACATTTAAGAAACACAAGCTGGTGGAGCCCTCCAAGAACCTCCAGGTGAACATCTGCTCTGATCATGTTAAGGTGATGAAGGTATTTTGTCGTACTGATCAGAAGTGTATCTGTTATCTCTGCTGTTTGGATGAACATAAAGACCATGACACAGTGTCAGCTAAAGAAGAAAGGACTGAGAGGCAGAGAGAGCTGGAGGAGAGACGAGGAAGAATCCGGCAGGGAATCCAGGACAGAGAGAAAGATGTGAAGCTGCTTCAACAGGAGGTGGAGGCCATCAATCACTCTGCTGATAAAACAGTGGAGGACAGTGAGAAGATCTTCACTGAGCTGATCCGCCTGATCAAGAAAAGACGCACTAAAATTAAGAAGAAGATCAGATCCCAGCAGGAAACTGAAGTGAGTCGAGTCAAAGAGCTTCAGGAGAAGCTGGAGCAGGAGATCACTGAGCTGAAGAAGAAAGAAGCTGAGCTGAAGCAGCTCTTAAACACAGAGGATCACAACCAGTTTCTCCACAGCTACCCCTCACTGTCAGCACTCAGTGAGTCTACACACTCATCCAGCATCAATATCCGTCCTCTGAGAAACTTTGAGGATGTGACAGCAGCTGTGTCAGAGCTCAGAGATAAACTACAGGACATTATGAGAGACACATTGACAAATGCCTCCCACATGTCCACATGTTCGCGAGAACCAAGTGTCAATCATCTGACACTAGCTGAGATGCATTTTTTACTCCAAGAAGTAGAACCCACGAGCAGATTTGAATTCCTTAAATATTCACACACAATTACATTGGATCAAAACACAGCACACACACTACTGCTGCTATCTGAGAGGAACAGGAAGGTGACAGTGACTGATCAACATCAGTCTTATTCTACTCACCCGGACAGATTTACTACTTATTCTCAGGTTCTGAGTACAGAAAGTCTGGCTGGACGTTGCTACTGGGAGGTGGAGTGGAAAGGAAGAGTTCGTCTAGCAGTTGCGTACAAGAATATCACCAGAGCAAAATGGGGTAATGAGAGTAGATTTGGATATAATAACAAATCTTGGGCATTAGAATGTTCCTATGATGTTTCTAAATTTGGTCATGACAACATTTGGACCTCTATCTCAACTCCTCATACCTCCAGGATAGGAGTGTACCTGGATCACTCAGCAGGTATTCTGTCCTTCTACAGCGTCTCTGAAACCATGACTCTCCTCCACAGAGTCCAGACCACATTCACTCTGCCGCTGCATGCTGGACTTTATGTTGAGTTATTCTCTAATGCAGAGTTCTGTGAACTTTAATAGTTCTTTTTTTTCTTTCTGGTTGTTAATCAGGATTTATTTTTCTGTTTCTCTGCTCTGTTGTTCTGTTTTGTATATTTATTTTTTATGTAACACACTGTGTCTGTGTGTTTCAGAAGCCAAAAAAGTTTTTCTTCATTTTTATATGACATGGGAATATTTTCCCCAAATGTGTAGCCATGTTTTTTTCAACTTTGTGGGGGATATTATCCTAAATATGCCACATTTTAGGGTCATTAAGAGGGTTTCTTGCCTTAGGGTGTAGGTTATGAGCAAAGTGTGACTAGAGTTTAGCTTAGGTTTAGGGTTGGGTATATGTTGGTAATTAGGCTTAGGTTAAAGGTCAGGGTTAGCCCACAGAAATTGAGTATAAATTAAACTTGAGAATGGGTTTTCCTAAAATTGGATCTTCAAAAAGAAATCAGAAAGCCCTCTCTATGAACTCAGTCTACTCTCATCACAGGTTTAATATCTTTTTTGGAAAGTATTAAACACAACATTCCTAGAATTTACTTCACATTCTAAACATTAAGGGACTCTGGATTACAGACAGAACAATCTGATGTTGCTCTAAAACAAATGTCAGTAGCCAAATCACTTGGTCAAGATGGTTTGACTTTCAATTTTCATACTTTTTTTTTCCTTGGATGAATTTAAAGAGCTATTATTTAATACCTTAGAAGAATGAATTGAAAATAAGAATGTAATGCCAACTATGAAACTACATTATTACCCAAACCAGGAAAAGAATAGATAAGATAAAAGATTAAAGATAAAAGATATATTGATGATCCATGGCTCACATAGGAAACTAAAACAGCCTTAATTTAATTAGATTAACCCCAGATTGAAGTTAAATGCTGAAACTGTGGTCTTCAGCACAGTTTCAGCCATAGAAATTGAGTATTTCTCAAGGTAAAATTGAGAATGGGTTCGGTATTTACTGTGTAAAGGGAAAATGATTTTTAGTGGTAAATAAAGTAATCTGTTATCTGGACTGAACTGTCTTAAGCCTCATTTTTCACAAATTGTAGTGTTTTAATTTTAATCGCTAAGTAATGTTCATGTTCATTTCTGTTTCTATTGAAATGACTTTAATTTCTTAATTTAAAGTTTAAATCACAGTCAGTTTCTCTGACTTTCTCTGACTAGGGTTTGTTGAGAACGAAAGCCATATTGCTTTTTTTTTACAGAGGCAAGTACAGAGGTAAAGTAGAAGAAGCCCAGTAATACATTAATAAACAAACGTAAAACAGCTAGGAGCGTATGGACATACAGATGGATACCTGGCAACGTCATGCAGGGTACAATGGAGTAATTGCTAATCAAATGCATTGCACCATGGTACAACCTTTACAATTCTTTTAAGGTCTTAAGGTCAAGGTGTCTTCATAAAAAGCATATCACCCTAATCCAACACAGGTTAAAACAAACACAAAAAAAGAGTCGCAGAAATAAGATATTTTCTTGACAGAAAAGAAAAACAAGATTTTCTCCTACAGAAAAAAAAAACTATTTTAGTTTCTACTTTCTAACTAGACCCTTGATGTATGAATTAAAAGAAAGGCTTTGTTCAATTATAATAACCAAGTACCTGCAAGTAGACACTAATTGAATCTCTGAACCCTCAGAGCTGATTCCAACAAGAATGCACAATATCCAAGGCAGACTGTAAAAAAAAATCAATCAGTCTATCAATTGTTACTGTCAACTACAATTTTTATTGTAAGCAAGATTACAATGCAGTTTCAGTACGAACTATTTATCTCATGCATCACATACATTGGGGGGAAGAGGAACACCTGACTGAGGCCATGGGTGCCAAGGAATGATGCCGTTAGGGGCAGTCTTTTGGCTGCCAAGGACCCTACCATGAGGTGTTTTCCTTTGGGCACTGCCTTTATCTCTGTGGAAAGATAGGAGCCAAATGTAGGTAGGGAGAGGGAAAAAATGCATATTTCACACTTTATTCTTGACAGGGTACAGTTTAAGACATCAAAAAAATAGCTCAGCACAAGAAAAACAGATAAAAACATAAGAAACATTTCACAGAGGGTTACATTGGAGGCTTGGGTGTCACATGTTTGTCTATGTTGTATTTGTGTCATGATGTTTTTAAGAGATCTGACCCACTTGCAGGAAACCACTCAGAGAACCAGAGTAAAAGTTTAACAGGTTTATTAAAATAATCAATAAGGTTGATCCAGGGTAACTCAGAGAGCTGGTGAACCGGAACTGGAAGTGAGAAGGGAAGTTCAGAGGTTAGTTAGGGATCCGTGGGAACTTTCAACAATGTCTTGTAAAAAACAGATAAATGGGACTCACATTAGCAGAAAAATGTTCTCTTCACAGAATCCAGTCGGTGTGGGTTTATACAGAGATTGGGGGGCTCGTTGGAGGGTGGACAGGTTCTTGGTTTGGTTGGTTCCTTGAGGAGTAATGGAGCGGACTGCCACTTGGATTTCCAGTAGGACTTGAACGGGTCATGTGGAGATTAATCCCCTGCTCAGTGTGAAGCTCAAAACAATCCTTCCAGGGGGAGAAGGCCAAAATTCCAGTTTGCAGGATGACTTCCTGCCGAAAAGTGTGTCTCTGTGTGTGTGTGGGGGGTGTGTGTGTGTGTGTGTGTGTGTGTGTGTGTGTGTGTGTGTGTGTGTGTGTGTCTGAGTTTGTGCAATTTGTCCATGAACGCTGTCCAGAGGCCCTCGTCCTTGATATGATGGAAGTTTATCAACCGGTGCTACACTTCTGAACGCATCGACAGGTGTTTGTGGGTAGGGTGGTGGGCGAGCCAGCAGTTCTGGGTCCATAACATCTAGGGGAGTTTTGATAAGGGAGAGGATAGACTTTTATTTCCACATTGCAAATCCATCCATCCATTTTCCATCACGCTTATCCCAAGCAGGGTCGTGAGGGGTGCTGGTGCCTATCTCCAGCTGTCTATTGCAGGGCAACAAAGAGAAAAACAGGAAAACCATTTATACACACTCACACCTAAGGAAAATTTAGAGAAGCCAATTAACCTAACAGTCATGTTTTTGGACTGTGGCAGGAACCCAGAGAAAACCCACAATGCTCAGCGAAAGACCCCGGGCTGGGAATCAAACCCAGAACCTTCTTCCTGCAAGGCAACACTGATATCCGCTGGTCCACTGAGCGGCCCACTTGCAAATTTAATATTCTGAATTAAAATAAAACAAAAGTATAAGCTTGTTCTAAAGCAGTAGAAGAACAGTAGATGACACTGTCATCTGCATAAAAATGAAGCAACTAATACATTATGACAGAGATCATTGCTATATTAATAAAAAACACCAGTGGACTTAAGACAGAGCCTTGAGGGGTGCTTTTGTAACAGGAGGAAAATCTTCACATTGCATTCTTCCTAATTAATAATCTGAACACAATCTCTTAAGCCGAGTATCATTGTTGACAGTATTAAAAGCCTTCGATATGTCAGTCATAAGTGCAGTAGAGTATTTTTCACATTCCAGGGCCTCTATAATTAAGAGATTCACAGCAGGTCCCCTGGTATAGCTCAAAAATTAAGCTATACCAGGGGACAGAATATCCTGAAATTAGATCTCCAAAAAGAAGAACTTCGACAGAAGAATTTGATGTTACTGTAAAACAAATGTCTGTAGCCAAATCACTTGGTGAAGATGGTTTGCCTTCCAATTTTCATACATTTTTTCTGGGAGGAATTAAAAGAGTTATTATTCAAAACATTAAAAGAATGTATCGAAAATAAGAATTTAATGCCAATTATGTGTCAGGATTCCTGTCTTTGTTTGTGTGTTTCTGTGTTTGTTGTGTTTCCACCAGGGGGCGCCTGGTTGAGGAAGGGAGACAAACACAGAAACACACAAACATAGACAGGAATCCTGACATTATGAAACTACATTATTACCCAAACCAGGAAAAGACAAAAGATATATTGATGGTCCATGGCGCACATAGGAAACTAAAACAGCCTTTATTTAATTAGATGAACCCCAGATTGTTGTTAAATGCTGAAACTGAGGTCTTGAGTGACAAGATTAGGTCCGTGAAGTTTTGATTCTGATTATTTTCATCCCTGAATACAGTTACACCATTAGGTGGTCTGTTGATTGTTAATTCTATGATTAAATGATGTTTAGAGATTTTTGATGCAGTGCTTAAGATGTTTTTCCTTTGTGTTTGTTTAAAGGTGACTAAAAAATTGTGCCTTCTCAGGGAGTTGTTAGGATTATTTTTTATGATTCTTGTGTTATGGTATGTTATGGATCAAATGTAAATGATG